CCCCAAAACCCCAAAACCCCATCAATGAAAATCATTTAATAAGTATTAAAGAATTAATGAAATAAAAGTTATATGCTCAAATAATATGAGGCTAGTTGAATATTATTTTGTTCTCGTTATTTTTAAATCATTTCTTACCAGCATTCCCTTAAGAAATATTTCTATCATTTTATTTTAAGTAATTGAAATCTTTTCTAATGCTTGTTTGTTTTTCATCAAGTTCATCATAGTCCACTGATCTTTAAGAATCAATAAAGTCAACATCGAAATTAGCTTGCTTAACATTTAGCTAACTTGAGTGTGAGTTTTATTTTTCTTCTAAAATTTCAATTAATGCATCCTCCACTTTATTTTTGCTTTCATTAACTGGGGATTTACCTAATGGAAAAGCCTATTCAGACAAACATTAACTATTATTAAGATCTCTTTCTGAGTTTATTCCTTTAATAAGCTTCATCACAAATGCCATTCTCTATTTGTCTAACATTTACATTAGTTTGTTTTTAGAGGAGAAAAATATTCTCTTTTAGATTTTCAAATCCAATTTATTTTCTGGATTGTGCCAGTAAAGAAAGTGATAGATCAATGTTTTAGATAAGTCCTCCTTAAAAGATATGTGAATATCATTTTGACTTTGATTAAGATCTTCTATTTTCACTCCTTACTTATCTTTACTATCCTATTATTTCTTATATTTTTAAGTAAGCAAGTAGTCTTTTGAATACGGGATTAACTATCTTTGCTTTCTTGATAGCAAAATATTGTTTATCATTTTAAAATTTCTTAAATCTTTCAATATTTTTCCTATGTCTAGTTGCTTTTCTATTTTGTCCTTTCCCAAATCAAATAACTCTTTTCGAAAACTAGATTTTCTACAGCAAAATACTCTTCTGCCCCAATAAACTAGGAATTCAGTAAGAGTATAGGTAAAAGGTACTCTATCCCAAAGTAGATTTATCAATTTTCCAAGAGTTGTTATCTCATTTTGCTTCAATTTTTCTTTAAGATTTGACTCTATCAGTTCATCTTATGCAGCTATTTTTTAGTTATTTGGATCATTTTAATTGCTTTTATGCTAGTCAAGAATACTCTTTTCTACTAAGTATGTCTTTCTCAGAAGGCTTTTATAGTATAGAAATTCTTAAAGCGGTGCAATGATAAATGCAATGACTCCAATTAAAATTCCAGCAAGACCTCCTGTATTTGAAAGTGCTTGAACCATATTCTAAGTGGTGAAAGATATTGTATTCACTTCATTAGACATTTGGAACCTAAAGTTAAAGAATGGTTTAGAAGAATTACTAACAGCCTCCTAAGATGATCTAGGAGCACTTTTTATGTATTTCATTTTTGTGCTTAAGAAATCGTTTTCAAATTCTCCTATGCTTTCATGAATTCTAGACTTTGAACCACTAACTTTGCTCAATTAAATTTCATATGCTACTTCATTCATATTTACTTCTGAGAATGCATATTTGTCAACATTTAAGTTTAGTTTTATTGGATCGTCATTTATCTCTTCAAAATCAAAGAATTACTAGAGTGTAAAAGCATAAATAGAAGCTTTATCTATCCAAGGTATTGCTGTCTTATTAACTTCTTTTTCATAGCAAGTTTCACTAGGGTAATAAATTCCTTTATCTTTCATTTGCTTTAATTAAGTTTAATTGCAATCTCTAATTTTTAATTGAATGATATTGTTAGATCCTCGGAGTTCCATGTCTGGTAACTTTTTAATGCATAAGAATTGTTTATTTGTGAATGTTTTTATGTAGCTATGAAATAAAGAATTGTTACCCATTCTCTCCATTGAGCAATTCTATAGCTCAATATTTTGTGATATACTGATATTGACTCCCTCTAGTCTATCAGTTTCCTCATCTAGAGTGAGACCTAATGAATTAAAGCTGGCAGTGATATTCATATATTTAAAGATACTTTCAGACGCATCTTTATCTATATCTATGAGGAAAGCTAAGTCAAAGTTAGGTTAATGGATGTCTATTGTTTTCGTTTGTGTGTTAATTGGGTATTAAGCTTGATTTATCTAAGATTTCTTGAGATTAATTACATTCAGTTAGGAACTAAAGTGATATATTAAGACTCCCATAGTAGCTAAAGTTAATAAAGATCCTGGTAATGTTTTCTTAGTTCCTTCTCCTTTGTAATTGAAGCTAACTGCATGCCCATAAATGTCGAAGACACGCAAAAATTTCTTTATATTTCTCATCATGGTAGTTTATTGCTCAATAGTTAAAATTTAGTTATTACTATTATCGAATTTTTATTCGACTTAAATATACCAATTTTGGACTAAAATTAGTAATTTGCACTAAAATATTACTTTTTATTTCTTTTTCTGACTATTCCTGACCAATATTTAAATGATGGGGTTTTGGGGTTTTGGGGTTTTGGGGTTTTGGGGTTTTGGGG